CGGCAGAAGCCACTTGGTATTCAGAGCCGGCGCCCGCTCACCCTGGTGCCGGACGGACGTGACAAACGTGCTCAGCGAGGGGGCTCTGTTGGTGACGGGTGCAGTTCATCCTTCAGTCTCCTTGAGAAGGGAGGCTGGGGCCTGGGGCCGTGGGTGTCCCGTCCTGCTGGGGGCCTGCTGGCGGTGTCATGGCGGCAACGGCAAGGGGAGATCTGTTGTGGGGAGTCCGCTGGGCTTTCCTGGGCCCTGGCCAGCTGCTGCACTCTGTCCGTGGTGGGTGTGCAGGCCCTGAACGCCCCCCTGCACAAGTGGCTTTCTGGGTCAGGCCCAGCCCGGCCTCACTGGTGCGGGGGCCTCCTCGGGAACGGGGCCGGGGAATCGGCCCCCAGTCTCAGCCCTGCGCTGCCAGCCCTACCTCCTTCCCCTGTCACATGCCGTCAGCCCTGGACCTGAGGGCTCTCGCTTACAGTCTTCGCTGTTTCCACATCTGCGGTCACATTAAGCTCCCACAATGGCTGTGGAGCGAGCTGGCAAGCATGTGCTCATCCACCCATCCATCCGTTTCTGTGAGTGGGGTCGCTGCCGCCAGGCCCTTTCTCCACTGCAGAGCACGGGAAGCCCGCGGGCCTGCTGTCCTGGACGAGGCCGGTGGGGCAGGGCAGCAGTGAGGTCCATTACTGGGGGGAGGGGCGGGGGAGGGCAGCCAGTGTCCTTTCCCACAGGCCTCCCCACGGGTCCCCTCCTCCGTCCCCAAAGGCTCCGCGGCTGGGATCGGGCCATAACTGGGAATTTTTGTTTGGTGTTTAGCGCTGAGGTGGTAGAGTGTGGGATATTGCTAACACCCTCCCATTTTTGGCTGGAGAGCCTGACTGCCCTCGGCGTGGGCGGCGTGGGCCACTGCTGTCAATTTCGTGTTCTCTGCCCCATGGAGTTTCACAGATCCAGGTCCAGGGTTGGCGGAGGCAGAGCGGCCTCTGTCTCTTGGGGTGAGGTCAAGTCTAGGTGAGTGCTGGAGGCCAGCACCCTGGACCCTTGAAGTCGGCCGCAGCCATGGGTGGCGAGAGGGTTTACTGTTGGCCTCTAGCCCCTGACCCCGCATCCTCCGTGGGTCTGAGCGCAGCTCTGGGTGGCAGGTGCCGCGGCAGCGGAGGCTGCACGGAGTCACGAGGCCCGGGCCGTTCTCCGCTCATTGCCCAAGATCATTAATAACCAAGAACTGGAAAGATAATTAAAAGCCAAATGTGGAGCTGAGCCACCTGCTGGCTGGCTCCAAGGACAGGCCAATCCTGCTCCCGGGGCCAGGCTCTGGCTGCCTCGCTCCTTCTCTAGGAACGGATTCTGGGGACAAGTGAGCCTTAGGGGAAGTAGGGGCAGGCAGGACGCCTCCTGCAGGGTCAGAGCTGGCCGGGCCTGGCTTCCCCGCGCCCTGCTCGGAGGCCTGGCACGCCTGCCCTTCTGCGGGGGCGCTGAGGAAGGGCTCTGCAGTATCAGGGGGAGGGGACAGAGCCTGGCAGGAGAGAGGGGGCTGGCTGTGTCAGAGAGGCCGTGGATGTCCAGCCACCATGGACCAGGGCCGGTGTGGCGAAGAGCAAGCTAAGCCCGCCCAGACAGGACGCCCTAATGCTGCTGGTTTGTTGTTTTTGTGGGACAGAGGAGGAGGGGCCCGTGGGCACATCCCCTACTCCCTGGGAGCAGGTGTGCATGGGGGGAGGGGGCGCAGAGCTCAGAGCAGAGTGGGCATGATGTCCTTGGCCAGGACACCTGGCTACAGTCTGGCTCTTTGGATGGGGACGGCTGTCTGTAAGTTTCCTGGGGGGCTGGGGAAGTAGAGCAGCTCTCCAGATCCTGAAGGTTCATTTCCGTTTCCGAACCACAGCAGGCAGCTGCTATGAGAAGACACGTGCCTAGGAGCCTATGAAACCAGTGAGGTGCCTGGGGCCCCGAACCAGGGGCCCTCAGTGAGCTCGGGGCTCCGTGGCCGGCAGGGCAGCTACGGCTGGTGTGGGGCGAGGGAGCCAGCCTCAGCACAGGGCAGGTCCCCCTTCTAGGTGCACACTGCCGAGCCCCACGTGTGCCACCAAGGCCCGCACGCAGAGTGCCCAGCGCTGTGCCTGGCATACCTCAGGCACTCTGATGTCACTTCTCCCGTTCCCCAATCAACGCCACAAGCCAGGGCCCCAGGGAGTAGGGGTGGCAAAGCTCCTCCCCGCAGCCCTGGGTCTGGGTCTCAGTAGAGCTGGCTTTTCAGGGGCCGTCAGCCTGGCCGAGCCAGGCATCAGTCCTGCTCAGGACCCAGTCCCCAGTCAGGTCTGGCGTCCAACCAGTCAGGTCCATGGCCTCCCGGACCTGGAGCCTGGCACTGCCCGGTCCTCCCCCTCGGGCTGGCTTCCTGGGAGCTGGGGGCGGCCCATCCTCCCCACCTCTGTGACTTCAGCCGCAGCCTGTTGCTGAGGCAGCTCCCGGCCCCCACGCGGTGCGAACAGCTGTGCAGCTAAGGGCCTGGCGCGGCGCCCACTGCCCATCTCCCACCGCTCAGCCGTGCCTCCCAGCCTGTTACCTGCCATCTGCCCCATCCCTAAGCCGGAAGCTGCCTCCCTGGTGTCCGGGCAGGGAAGAGGCAGGAGCTGCTGGCACGCAGCTCCAGCGCTCTTACAGGGGACGGGGCACAGCGTGCTGCCTCCCACCTTGACCTGGCTTGACCTCGGGGCCAGTCTGGGGCTGTGTGGGCAGATGGTGTCGGGCGGAGGCTGCCGTCTTCATCCTCCTCCACAGCGAAGCTTGCACCTGGGCCAGGCCGGGCTGCCGTCCTCCTCTGCCTTCCCACCACCGCTCCCCCGGGGCCCCTCCATGAAATGGAGACCGTGACCCAGCTGCCCCCCTCGCCAAGCAGGTGTAAAGACAGACAGATGTGCTGGACCCGCAGGGTGAGCCAGCACCACCTGCGACGCATCCTCCCCGCCAGACCCCAAGCCCCGTGGTTCTCTTTGGGCGACCCCTCTGACCTCCAGTGGGACAGCTGGTGGACAGACACGGAGGCGCACGGGAACCAGACAGTGGCAGTGGGGCACGCCGGCTGCCGCCAGGGAGGTGCTCACCCGGGGCCACTTCCCTCCAGGCCCGGGGCTGCCCGGCTCGGAGGGGGTGGCAGCCGCCAGACCCCGCTGGGGCTCCGCTGGCGCATAAATCAACCTGGGCTTGACGGCGCTAATAAACTCACACCTGAAATTTGGTTTGGAGCCTGGGGAAGCGGGATGATTTAATTTGCTTTGTCCTTAAGCAAAAGGGAACGTGATTGGAGAAAGGTAAGTACAGATGTTTTAATTGAGTTTTCAGTGAACAGCGGGGCGGCTCCAGGGAGGGCCGGAGCCGCAGGGCTGCTGCACCTCAGAGCCCCCCGCTGCTCTGCCCGCCTCGGGTCGGCCTCCTGGGAAGAAGCCGCGTGGCAGGGGGAGAAGGGGCGTCCGTTTCTCCGGTAAATGGAAAATGATGACACCCAGGGCCAAGGTGAGAACTGCAAATGTGTGACCTCAGTGAGAAAGCGGATCGTGGCCAAGTATGACACAAGGCTCTCACAGGCTGGGGCGGCTGGGGCCACAGGCGGGGGAAGTGCATTCTGTGGACGCCCCATGTTCCTGCAAGTCCCACCTGCCCCTCTGCCCTCCCGAGACCACCTCGGGCCCCAGGGGGCCCGGCTCGGCCGCTCTGTCCACGGCAGGAAGCGGATGCCGTGCGAAGGGAGGCTGCGGAGGGTTCCTACTGAGGGGTCAGCAAGGCACTGGAATCAAGGGAGAAAGGGGCAGGGGCCCGAGATCCCACCCCAGAGAGGCGGCTCCCGGCCGCGCTGCTCTGGGCTCCGGGCCGGCTGGGGCCAGGCGCCGGGCCGGGGCGGGAACGAGCCCCAGGCCCTGAGGGAGAAGGCACATTGGAAACTCGGAGTCCGTCAGTCACCCGTTTCCAAGGAAGGCCGCCCCGACGGTGCGTGCGTGATGGGGAGGGGGTCTCGGAGGGCTGGCGAGGTGGGCAGGACCTGGCCCTTTTCCCTGGGGCATGGTGGCCAGTGCCCCACCTCACCCCATGGCGCCCAAGGGACAGGAAGTGTGTGAACACGGAGCCCCACGGCCTGGCTGGACAGGGAGCCACGCTTAGTGTTGGCGCAGGGACAGAGGGTGGGCCTGACCTCCTACGGGGCGGGGACCAGAAGGCCGCTCGCTGCCACGTGCCCACGAGGGCACTTTTGACTCGCTGCAGTGGCGAGGGGTGTGGCTCCCCTTTAGTGGCCACCGCTCCTGCGCCCCGCACGGCAGGCGGCCCTGAGAGCCCCAGCAGGGCTGCCCGACAGCAGAGGACTCCCGTGGGGGGCGTGAGCTCCAGGCTCTAAGCCAGGGCGCGAGCTGCGGTGCCCGTGGAAGGGCTGCCCCTGAGTCATCGCGAGCTCAGCCCGGAACGGAGCCGGTGCCCAGAGCAGGGCCCTCGAAGTCCTGGTGCGGGGACCGCGGTGCGGATTAGTGCCCCCCTGCTCTCGTCGCTGCTGCTGCCGCCACTGCGGCAGGCTGGGCCAGAGCCCTAGGCTGCACCACGCCAGGCGGGAGGGCGGCCCGGCGGGGCGGGGGCTAGGGCCTGGGAGCCACCCCCAGGCGGCAGCTTCCGGTGGAGCGGAGTTCGCAGGCAAGGACGCGGGAGATGCCAGGGGGGAGGGGTACCGTGACTAGTATAAATAGTGGCAGTGCCAGCGCTGCATCTCTACCGCTCGGGGAGAGGGACCCGCCCCGGGGGCTGGGCGGCGGGCGTGTGCGTACAGCAGACTGGTCGGATCCGGGAACCCGTCCTGGAACCTGGGGGGTGCCCAGTGCCCGTGTGCGGCTCGCCAGGCTGGGGGCAGCCCTGGACGGGAGACCCGGGATGGGGTGGCCTGGAGACCGGGACAGGGGCAGGCTGTGCGGCAGGAAGCCCGGGCGGGGACAGGATCCCCCACCGAAGGCCCCCCCCCCCCCGCCCCGCCCCGCCAAGAGCCCGGCCTTGCCCGCCCATGGAGCCCAGGGAGGCAACCAGACACAGGCTCTGGGGGCGGAGGGACAGGGTGGGGCCCGGCTGGCCCCACCCCCCGGGTCAGCAGACGCGCCTGCCCTCAGAGCTTGGTCTCGCTGAGCACGATGTTGGCGGTGACGAAGAAGAAGCAGGAGAAAGCCCAGAGCAGCACAAAGCCCACCCAGAAGGTGTGGTGGAAGGGCGACCTGTGCTTGTTGACCGTCCCCAGGCCGAAGGCCAGCGCGGCGTCCTTGCGGCAGCAGTACACCAGGAAGGCGGGGGTGACGTACTGGATGCCGGTGCCCGCGTAGGCCCCCGTGATGCCCACCAGAGACTCCAGGTCGTGGGTGCAGAAGGCCACCAGCACCGGGGGCACCAGCGTGATGACGGGGAACACCACGCGGTCCACGACCCAGGGGTACGTGCCCCCCTCGCGGTGGAAGAGGGTCTTCCAGTTGTTGCGCAGGGTCACGGCGATGATGGGGAAGTTGGTGCTGATGGTGAAGACCGGGAAGAGGCCCAGGAAGAAGCGCACGGCGGCCACGCCCACCACGTCGCAGCCCGCGAAGTTGAGGGTGTACATGTCCAGGAGCCTGTCGCCGCGGAAGCAGAAGATGGCGGTGAAGGAGAGGAGGCCGTAGAAGCAGAGGATCAGCACGTAGTCCAGGAAGACCAGGCGCGTGAGGTGGCGCTTGGAGGACACGGGCGTGACGAGGGACGGCAGGGAGTGCTGGCACATGAAGGAGTACACGCACACGCCGAACAGGTTCCGGACGCCGGAGAGGTCGGCCAGCGGCGGGCGCCCCTCCCCGCGCCCGCGCCCGATGCGGACCAGGGCGAGCACGATCATGACGGCGAAGGCTGCAAACGAGACAGGCGTCAGCCAGCAGGGGGCAGCAGCGCGGCCATCGGGGGCAGCGTCTGGTCTGGGGCGCCCACCCAGGAAGGGGAGCCCGCTCCAGCTCAGTTCCTGTGCCCCCAATGGTCACACCCCGGGGCAGGTCCGCAGTGGCTATTGCTCTTGTGAATGCCCCATGTGTCCCTCCCTCTGTCCAGTTTGCCACACCCGTCCCCACACCAGCAGAGAAGGGAATGTGTTTCTGGGGGTGGGGGGGGGGCCTGAGCAGGACAGGAGGGTGGCCGCACTGTCTCCTCCGAGGGATGGGCACACACTCTGGACCAGGCACGGCCCGCTCCCCTGCCAGCCCTGGGGGCTCTCTGGGGGTGGGGGGGCCTGTCGGCTTCCTGCCGGGGAGCTGTCCTCGGGCAGGACTCATTTGCGCTCTCCCTTGCTTTAAAAATGTGTGTCTGGGGTCTGGGGGGATGGAGGGCACAGGGCGTTTGGGAGGAGCTGTCTTCCCGGGCCAAGGGCACCCGAGGGCGCTTGGGAGCGCTGGCAGCCCTGAGCGGAGCGGGCGGCGCCGGTGGCCACCGGGGGAAGAACGGCCCCGGAGGCAGAGCCGGCGGGCATGTGGCAGGAGGCTGTTCTCCTGGGCCTGTGGCTCGCGGACCCAAAGTGGCTGGGGCCGGGGCCTGCTGAGGAGGGGGCGGGGTCCAGGCTGGCTGCCCTGCAGCGTCTCACAGCAGCCCCCAAGGGCCTCCCCCGACCCCTGCCTCAGCCCGCCTGTAGGTGCTCCAGGACCTGAGCTCCCTGAGGACAGAGGGGACTCGCCGGGTCTCTCTGGCTTCTCAAATCTGCCACCCAGACGACCCAGAGCTGCCACCATTAGCCACTCTGCACACACGGGGACCACCGGTGTCCCTGTCCCCAGTGCTGTGGTCCACAAACCACGGCTGTCTCTGTTCAGGGCAGACCCGGGAGCCCCTCGTGGCCATGCCCCAACATCTCAGGTAGAGCCCGCAGTGACACTTGCCACTTCTGGGTGGGTGACACAGACATCGAGGGGTAGTGGGCTGGCCCTGCTGAGACACAGGACTCCTCCTGGGTGTGTGGGGGGGCTGGGGTCTCCTCGCTGTGCCTTCAGGCCCCATCACAGCCCCGAGCCCTTCTCCTGGGACTCACAGGAGGGCAGCCCGCCTTCCCGCAGCGACACGTGGAAGTGGGCCGGTGGGAACGCCACCCGCTGCGTCTAGTCCGGGCTGCCCGAGGCTGCCGGGGCCGGGGGGAGAGGCGGGGTGAGGGTGCGGGCCTGTGGACGCCGTCCATAAAGGGGGTGGCATGCCTCTGACTCTGAGACCGCCCTGCCCCTGCCGCTCCCGACACCCTGACACCGAGGGCCCCTCGAATCCTGCCGCCCAGGGACGACCCAATCTTGCCAGCCCTGGTCAGCGAAGGGGAAAGCATGGACACCCTTCCCTCCTTGAGGTCACAGCCCAGGAGCTGCCTCTGGCTTCACTCTCTCGGGGGCTGGGGTACGTGTGACAGGTCACCCAGTGGGGCCTCCCTGCTCCTCAGGATGCCCAGGACCCGGGAAAGGCAAGGAGTCTGCCTCAGGCCAGAAAGGGTTACTCGGCGGAGCTGAGCGGGTGGGGTGGCTGCAGAGGGAAGAGTGGGGTGGGGGGGGCACTGGGGCTGCCTGGTGATTAGCATTCAAGAGGCTGCAGCTGACAGTTCTGTCACCAGAGGCAGGGCGCCGGGGTCAGGGCAGAGGGGACAGCCGCTGGAAGGCAAGACTCGGATCCTGCTGTGCCCCTACCGGGGCGTCCCCTCGTGACCTGGTGCTGCTCCCGGCCGGGGCCAAGGCTGGCGTGGACTCGGAATAAGCAAGCGGAGAAACCCGCTGGGTGTCCCGCGGGCCTTGGCCCCGGCCCCGGGGGCAGCGAGTGTGAGAGCGGGCGGGGGGCAGCCGGCTGCTGGGAGGCCAGCGGCTCCCGCTCACCGCTCTCCGCGGCCGGGGTGCTGGCCCCAGCCTCTCGGCTCGTCCTCCTCCTCAGCCCCCGGTCTCCGAGAGGGCGTGAGAAGCGCAGACGGAAGCTGGCTCCTGAGCCGTCCGGGCAGCCGGGACCGGGGCTCTGCCGCTTGTGAATAAACCGGCTCACCGAGCAGGCTTCCAAAGCCACGCGACGGATCTTGAAAGCACGCCCCCCTCCCCACCCAGAAACGGGCGCCTGCTCACGGGGGTCCCCTGTGGGCGGTGAGAAAGATGTACGTCACCATCCCGTAGCTGTCACTGTCTCCAGCGAGCAACACTGCCACCTACATCACTCACCGACCTCACGTTCTTAACCAAACAAGTCTGCTTCCAAAACCAACAGGCCTGTGTCCAACAGCCGGATCTCCCTTCCCTGGCCGGATGCCAGGGGCTCCGGGGAGGCAGTTCCAGGAGCTCCCAGGAGGCAGTTCCAGGAGCGTTAGAAAGGGGCCCCAGTACGCCCTCGCCAGCCTCGAGAGAGGGCAGGACACGTGGGAGCCGTGGGCCCTTCAGGCACCCCCCCCCCCCGGTGAGGACACGGGGCAGTGCCGGGCTGCTGTCGGGGGTGAACAGGAAAGGGGAGACGCCCCGACGTGGCCCCCAAGTTGGCAAGTTCAAGAAAAACCAGGGACATCCCGACACAGCGCTGCCACGGAGGGGTGGGGGCGGGGGAGGGAAGGAAGCAGGAGCCCGGGCCAGTGGCTCCGACCTTGGGGGCTCCCGGGCCTAGAGGACTGAGTCCCCACCCCCACTGCTGCCCACTGCCCCAGCCCCTCCCCCGCTGGCTGTTCCAGGGGCAGAGTTCAGCAGCCGTCTTCGAGACTGATCGCCCCGTCCCTGGGACAGGGCTGTTCTGAGAGCTCGTTAGCTCTGATGGCAAATGAAGATGGAGCCGACAGGCCGCGAGTGACAGCCGCCGCCAGGAAGCGCCCTGGGAGCAGGGCTCGGCCACCCACCCGGCCGAGGCTGTGCGGGAGGTGGCCAGGCACGGGGGTGGACAGAGCGGCAAGCTCCCTGCTACCCCAGGGACCGGGGCCTGCGGTCCCCTGGCGGCAGGGTGGCCTCGGCTGCTTCCTGACCCTCACGGGCCGTGCTCAGGGGACAGAACCCGTGTGGCAGATGAGGGTCAGACATCAGCTCCGAGGACTGGGGTGGGGGTGAGGCGAGGAGGACCCCGGACGGGCTGCTGACTCTGCTCCGTGAGCCAGAGGAACCCTCGGCTCCTCTTGCTGCCCCTAATGTCACACAAGGCCCAGCTGTCCCCCTCACTGTCACCTGGGGGGACTCTGGCTAAGCCACAAGGAAAAAGGATTCTGTTTGGGCTCCTTGGGGCTCAGTCGCTTTGTCCTTCCCCACCACCACCCTCCCGTCGGAGCACAGACCGTGGGTCGGGGAGGGGGCTCATTTCACTTCCCAGGAGGGCAGGGCCCACTCGGGCTCTGGCTGGTGGGGGGGTCCCTCTGGGGAAAGCCCCCTGCACGGGTGTGCGTGCCCCCCACAGCTCCTTGGTCCCGGGTCAGGGTTCCTGTCTCAGGCCTGCAAGACACTGTGATCGCTGGTCTCGCCTGTGGTAACAACTCCCCAGAGAGAATCACTGGGGTTTCTGCTGAGGGGGGGCGGGATTTAAAGCTAATCCCGTGCTGGGTCGGCCCTGTGGCTTCTGGAGCGTTCCAGCTCTGTCTTCCTTCTCCTGCTTGTCCTCACCAGGGAGGCAGAGGAGAGATGTTTAAAGAGTCCGGTGACCGGACTGAGGTTCTACATGACTTCTCCCCACGGCCTCGGCGCAGAGCCCTCCCGCTCCCAAGTGTGTCGGGGGAGGGGTCGATGGTGACGGGCCGGCCTGGCATGGAGTCCCTGGCGCAATCAAGCCTGATGCACGAAGTCAGGAGTTCTGGCCTCCTCAGCCTGCACTGTTCCCGCCGTGGCAAGTGGCGTCGGGGCAGAAGGGTCTCCATTTCCCGCCCCTGGGCTGTCAGAGCCGGCCCCGTCTGGAACTGCCCGGACAGCTGAGCTGCGGGGCCTCTGCTGCCGGCGGACTCGTCTCCCCGGAGATTGGAAACTGTCACCTTTCCGGAAGCCTGTTGGCCTTCTCCTCTTGTCTCGGACTGTCCCCCCACAATTCTTCTTCCGTGGAAGCCCTGCCCCCCAGCGTGACTGTGCCTGGGGATGGGGCGCATGGGAGGGAAGAAAGGTGCCTCGAGGCCCTAAGGGGGGCCCTAATCTGGTGCCACCAGCGCTCTCACGAGAGGAGGAAGAGTCGCCAGCCGCCCTCTCCCTGCGCCCACGGAGCACAGGCCACGTGCAGACGCAGCGGGAAGGCAGCGGTGGAAAAGCCAGAAAAAGAGGCGTCACCAGAGACCAGCCCTGACGGCACCTCGATCCTGGGCTCCCAGCTCCCAGCTCCCAGCACCGTGAGAACGTCAGCTTCTGCTGCGCAGGCCACCCGGCCCGTGGTGCTGTTGAGTCCGCCTGCGCTAAGACGGCTCCTGAGCTGCCGCCGGAAAGCGGAGCAGGGCCGGGAGGCGGAGGGGCCGGGGCGGGGGGTCCGGGGCGGGGGGTCCGGGAAGGTGGCGCTGTGAGCAGCGGGCCTGGACTCCCCTGGACAGAATGTCAGTTCCTGAGCTCGCGTTGCCACGGGCCTCCCGGCTGTGCAGACGCACGTGGCTGCCTGACGGCCGTGCGGCTAAGGTTCCCCAGCCTGTGCAGAGCCCAGCTCTGCAGAGGCAGCCCTGTCACCGCGGCCGGTCGGCCCCTGCCTTGTGACTGTCCAGGCAGCGTGGCCGCCCACTGCCCGGGGTGGGGGCGCTAGCGGGAGACCCCTCGACGGCCAGGTCGGCGCCCATCTCAGCAGCACGAGGAGCAGAGCGCTGACCACAAAGGCTGCTCTGAGGAGCGCGGCCGGCGACAGGGCGTGGCCTTTGCTCGGGGCCAGGCCTGCTGTGGAGGGAAGGGGTTGTTTGTGGGTCGAGGCTGGCTCTCCTGCAGACTGCAGTTAAGTGTCCGCTTTACCACCTTAGAGACTTCAGCTAGAAACCCTGGGTTCCTCTACTTTACACCGACCTCTGCGTTTGCAGAGAGAACTTTTACAAAACCAAGGATAAGTCAAGACCAAAAGGGATGCCTAACGGCCCAGGAGAGCCCTGGATAGTGGCCTGGAGGGCGGGCGGGCAGGCGCAGAGCACAGCGCTGGCCAAGGAACCTCCACTTTGAGTAGGGGTCCTTCCCGGCCTCTGAGAAGCCCCCGGCGAGGGAGCGGCTGTGGAGGGACTCGTGCACCGAGCTGGCAGTCGGAAGCAGCAGCGTGTGGACAGATGGCCCAGGCACAGGAGACCCCTGGCTGCTGGTGGCGACAGAGCGGGGCGCTCCCACCCGGGGACACGCTGCTGAGATCAGGCACGGGCCTGCGGGGGAGTCAGCCAAGCGGCCACGGCTAATCCTGGGGACGGGTGAAACCAGAGGGCCCTTATGCTCCCCACCAGGCGACAGTCTCCTCCTGGGGACCTTCTGCCACTGGGGCCCCCACCACTGAGTTCCGCCTCTCCCCCCCAGTGCGGTCCAGAACACAGATCTGGGGCACCGCTGGGGAGGGCAGGGAGAGGAGGGCTGAGAAACTTCCCGAGGCAGGGTCAAGTTTATCCACGGACGCTCGCGCGGAGAGGACGTGCCTGACCCACTTTGAGAGGCGCGAGGAGACAGGAGCAGTGTGCGCGGCGGCTGCTCTGAATACACAATCGGGGAGCCCAGGCCCCGGCTGAGGGGGGCCGCCGCCTCCGGAGCAGAGTTCGTTAGAGGGAGCTGGTGTTTTGGTAATGCCAAATGGGGCGTCCCCAGCGGAGCCAGCTGGTTGCTCTGCGGGGTGTCCCCAACTGGGGGGGGGTTGCCTGCTGGTACTAGGGGTAAAGTAATGACACCCCCTGCCGGTGTCCTGGGGTGAACGGTCCATGGTCACTGTATGAGCAGCTCAGGGCTTGGGCTCTGCAGCCACGGCGGCTGGGCCCAGAGGCGCGCGGCACAGGACTTCTGGCTGTGTCTCTCTGAGTGCCCCCGGCCTGCTGACCACTGACAGTGGGAGGGCCAGGAGCTACGGAGGAAGCCCCCAGCACCGCCGTGCGAGGGGCCTGCTTCTCTGCCCCTCGGGCCCAGGCCCCCCCAGAGGCGGTGGGGTGGGGGCCGGGGCAGGCACAGGGCAGAGGGGGCTGCACAGAGCAACCGGTCTCACCGGGACGCCGGCGCCACAGCTCTCTCTGGGGGTGGCCTGGGCCACGTCCCTGATCTCTCGGCCTCCCCAAGGGAGAGGGCAATGGTGGCGAGCGCACCGTGGCTAACAGGTGGCTGCCCACCTGCGCTGGGCACTGTGCTGCCGGTGCTTCCCACTCGGCCACCCTTTATCTGCGCGGTTGCCCCCCTGGGGTCCTGCCTTCACTGCTGCCGGACGAGGGACCTGGCGGGGGCAGGCCGGCCGGCCGGGGCACCTCTGGAGTAAACACTGCCCCTCCCGAGGAAGCGAACAAGGGAGGAGGTGCAGTGGGAGGGCTGGCAAGACGCAGCCGAGGGTGGGGGGAGGCGAGGGGCGCGGCTGGGTGGCCAGGAAGCCCGCCGAGGCCTGACCAAGGGTCCCCTGCCCGACGGCGGTCGGACACCATCACTGCGCACGTGCAGTCAGGGGCATCTGCAAACCGAGTCACCCCGTCCACCGGCCTGGTCTCCCCAGAACTTACTCGGGGAGCAACAGAAATGAGTCAACACTGGCGCCCGGCACCCGTGTCCAGACATTTCCCGGGACGAGTGGCTCTTCGAAAAGGCCGTCCGACCCTCTCGACCCCATCCTGGCGGCTTGAGGGGCTCCGGGGCTGACGCTGCAGGGACGGACGGCGTGGAGAAAGTGGGGGCGGGGGGGGCAGCCTCAGGGCGCCTGGAGCTCGGGGGGCGGGGGGTGGGGGCCGCGCGGGCCCCCCCGCCTCGCTGCAACAGATGGCCGCACAAACCCTAATTAAGCAGGAGGACGTTTCCGGCTCAGCACGACTATGATTTTCTGGCCCCCTTGGTGCTTATTTTCCCTTTTGCCTTCCTAGAACCCCGGCCAGCTTACGGCCGCCCTGAGCGACCGGCTGGCTGCCGCCCGGGCTGGGCCCTCGGATGGGAGAGGGGAGAGGGGTGGAGAGGTGGAGGGTCACGGGGGCACGGCCACAACAGGAAAAGGGAGCTCGCCGCGAGCTGACAGCCTGGTGCAGACGAGAGGACGAGCAGGGCTGCGGTGCCCACGGCCTCCGCAGTTCCAGAAGAGTCCCCTGGGGCGAGCCTGGGCCAGAGGAGAGACTCTCGGACGGCCTGCACTCATCCAGTGGGCGGACCTCGGTCCCTCCCGCAGCGGGCAGCCTCGTCGGGGTGCCTGGTGCTCCCGGCTCCCTCCTGAGGCCACGCTGCTTTTCCATGATGAAACCCCCTTCCCAGTGAAAAGGCAGGCAGGGCCCCCGCCCTCCCCGGGCCCCGGGAGCCCACAGAAACCCGCACCCCATCCCAGCGAGGGCCACGAGCCCGCCTGCCTGTCTCCGGGAGGGCCGACGAGGGGGCCAGGGGGCGGCGACTCACCGATCCACCTCATCAGGGAGGTCAGGATCTGCAGGTACTTGGTCTTCTGGACGTCGAAGAAGGTGAAGGGTCCCAGGAGGAGGGTGAAGACAGCCTGGGTGACAAGAACAGGGGTGAGGGGACACAGACCGGCGGCACGTCGTGTGTGTGTAGGGGGTGGAACCACGCTCCACGCGGCCTCTGCCCAGGGCCGGCCGGTTCTAAGCCAGGGGTGCACCTGGCCTGGCGCAGGCGCCCCCCACCCGCCCCGGGGTCTGACAGCGTCCGCTCCAAGTTTCTAGGGTCACAGCCGCAACAGGGATATGGAGCCACACCTCGTGGCCGCTCCTCACACCTCCTGTCCTGAGACCCCTGGAAAGGGGTTTCCGGACAAGCAAGCCCCAGGGGGCGTGCTGGGGACGTCACACTTCTCTTCCGCACACACTGAGGACTCACAGCGGGGCACGCGCACGGACCGGGCGCAGGCGGCAGGAAGGTGAGGGTCTGGAGAGGCTGCAGGCGTGCCTTGAGCCCCGGCGGCGGCTCACTGGGAAGGACACGGGGAGGAGGGGACGCAGGGGCCCTGAGAGCAGCGCAGGCCCGGGGCACCGTTCTGCAGGGTCCAGGGGGAGGGGCCCACCAGGGTGTCGCTCATGAGCGATGTTTTAAGCTTCAAGAGACGGGGAAGCAGGGACCCAGCAGCGCCAGTGTCTCCCAGGGCAAACCCCTCAGAGAACTGCCCCGTGCCAGGAAGAGAAGGGCCCGCACCCGGAAAAGTGGGCGTGGCAAGTCTGGGGGTGGGGCTGGGGCTCCAGCCCGAGGAGCAGGGGCTGCCAGCACCTCGGGTCTCTTTCTCTTTGGAGAATGAACAGGGGAGAGTGTTTACTTCAAAAAAAACAAACAAACTGAAGGCCTGTCTTAGAAAACTGGTCTGTGGGGAATCGAACCTCCTCTCTGAAAAAGACGGAGGCGGGGGGGAGGCTGGGGCCGCCACGCCGACCTGGGCGCCCAGGGAGCGCAGGCGTGACGCGCGCCGCTGCTGGCTGGCAGGCCTCGCCGCGATGGCACCATTTCCAATCTGCCACTCGGAAGCAGCGGAAGCATCAGGCCTGATTACCATGCACACGGAGCCGCTTTATCGCGTTACCGCTAATGGCACTCACCAGAGACCCGGCAGCCCGCAGCCGGCTGGGGAGCCCCGCTGTGGGGGGCGGGGCCCGCCCTGGGGGGGCCGCCCTGGTCCTGCGATGGTGGGGGCGGGTGGGGGGTGAACATCTCACAGCTGCTGGGTCTGGCGGCCAGCCGGCTGCCCTGTGACAGGCAGGAGCCCCGCCAGAGGGGGGCTGAGCCCGGCCCGCCCCCACCCCCATGGCAAGGAGAGCAGGAGGAGGCAGAGGCTGTGACCCCTTATCCAAGTCCATTATCACTGCGAGAATGAGCGACAGGGAAGACTAAAGCCCCGGCTTAAGGAGAAGGCTCTAATTAGCCGGGGTGGGGAGGCCGGGCCCTCGCCAGGGCTGGGAGACTTCTGGGGGGGGCTCCGTGCTGGGCTCCCATACCCCGACCTGCTTCTGCTCAGGGTGCGGGGAGAGGCGCCCCCATCAGGCCGCGGGTGACCGGGGAGGCCCTCAGCGGTCCCCTCGGGCCCAGGGAGGGGGGCTGGGGACCCGGGAAGGCGCAGACTCGCCCCCTCTTGCCAGAGCGAGTCCGTGGGCAGCAGCTTCGGCAAGTCACTCCGGAAAATTACTGCTTCAGGGGGACCTTCCGCTGCAGGGTCTCCCTCTGACGGACGGGGGAGGGAGCCGTCGTGGGGAAGGACACACACAAAGCCACCGGCCGCAGAAGTTTCCACGTACCCGTGGCCGGACCAGATTGGGGCTCCCGGTGCACCCGGGGCCCTCCGACCTGCGATGCCTCTTGCTGAGCACACGGCGCTCTGGCCGCCGTGGGTGCTGGGCGTCCCCAGGGCGGGGGCTTCCGGGGGAGGTCAGCTCTCCTCTTGGAAGGCCACAGACTGGTCTCCATCGAGTTCCAAACGGGGGCAGAGCAGAGGCAGCCGCACAGGCAGGGGGGCCCTGCCTTCCCCCCGGGATCCCTCCCTCGGACCCCAAAGCCACCTTCAGCCTCCCGCACAGTGGGTGTTGATCAAGACCCCACATCGCAAGAGCCCCTTTTATGAAACCCCGTCGGACGGGGCCCCAGCCCACCAGGGCACCCTCTGTGCAGAGAGGCCGGGTCCGGCAGGCGCATCTCCAGGAGGCCGAGAGACAGCTGTCCGGGAGGCGCCGGCCCCGTGACGGGGAGGAGAGTGGAGGGGCGCTCTTTGGGGGAGGGGCCACCCCGGCCTGGCGCTGTGCCGTTTGGGTCTGGGGGCAACAGGCCTGCCCCCCGAGCGGGGACAGGCAGTGCAGGGCTCTTTCGGGAGAATCGTTCGTTCGGTCAACAGCTGAGACACCCACGGCTGGACGGCAGCTGGGATGTGGTTTCTTTTTCTTTCAACGCCGCCCAGGACCACAGACTGGCCGCCCCCCAGCTCGGGAGGGCGCAGGGCCGCCAAGTCAGAGGGACACACGCAGACCGCCGCACGGGGGCCGCCGCACGGGGGCCGCGGCTCGGCGCGGAGGGCGCCCAGACCGAGACGCGCCGCGCCAGCTGGGGCCCGTTACGGAACAGGTGTCCTCTGCGATTAGTCAGAGCCGGGCTGGGCGACCGCAGGGCCGGCATCTGGGCCGGGAGGGGACAGAGGAGCCGCGGCGGCGGCACGGGCTGCCATGCCGCGGGGGCCCCAGGTCTCCGGGAAGTAAGGGGGGGGCGCAGGAGACCAGACAGCCCGTGTCCCACTGGTCCAGCGCGGACAGAGCTCACCTCTGAACGCAGGACAGCCCAGCGTGGCCCCTTCTGTTCTCCCTTCCCATCTCCAAAAAGGAAAAAGCCCAGAGACAGCCAATCCTCTTGGGCCTTCCTGTCTAGCCTGTATGGCATTATAAATGAGCTGGCTCCTGAGCCGTGTTCCAGCCCCCAAATGCCATTGATCAAGTAGCAGTCTCTGTTCAAGGACTCTCCTGACCCAGCCCACGGCAGAGTCAGGGGCGCCCAGCGCCACAGCCAAATGTGTTTCTTTAAGAAAAAGAAAAGGAAGAAAGAAAGAAAAGAAAGAAAGAACAAGCACTACTTTGGGTTCTGATGAAATCTTCAGAACTGGTCACCAGGAAGAACGCCGGAGACAGACCTGCCCGGGGTGGGGTGGAGGGTGGGGGGTTAGACGTGCACCCAAGGCCCCCCGCAGCCCTGCGGACTCAAGGGGCACACAGTGGCGCGTGTCCCTGGGGTGTTGCCGCAGTGCTCAGCCTCGGCCCCGCTGGTGTCCCGCGGGCACTGCAGGTGTCACTCGGGGCCTGAGGCTCACCAGGCCGCCTCTCGTCCTGCATCCCCGAGTGGGTTGAGTGCACCAGCCACCTCCGGTCGCTCCGGCTCCAGACTCCCCACCCTCCCCGACTCCTCCCTCACGCCCCGGGCTGGTGTCTGCCCGCTGGCACGGCAGCCACAGAAACGGGGGCGCGGCGCCGGCACTCCCGACCCTGTCCGGCGGGGACACGGGGTTAACGGAGGAACGGACACCCAGAAGAAGAGGAACCCAGGAGGCAAGGGGCTGGGGCAGCGGCGGACGGTCCCCTGGGAATCCGCCCCTGCCCTCTCCCTCCGAGGCCCAGACCTGCTGGCGCCAGCGCCGTCCCCACACGCTCAGCCCCGGTTAGCCACGCCGCCTCTGGCGGACACTCAAGGACTCACTGCTGCAGAGAGGACTCAGCCTGGGGGGCCCACGGTCTGGTTCCAGCCGAGTTCTCAGCCTTGCTGCTGAGGACGGCGCCCCCCGAGCCCCCAGCCCGGCAGCCCTGGGCTGTCCCCACCCCACAGGGACAGAAGCCCAGTGGTCACGAAGCCAGCGGCGGCCAGCGAGGCACCAAGCCAGTGCTGCCGTGTCCCCTTCCCCCGAGGGCCAGTGACTTGCCGGACGGCCAGTTCTCGGGGTGCCGGCTCATGGGTCTCCCTGCAGAGACAAGGGGCTGGGGGCTTGTTTGCCCGTGGCTCCCGGCGTGGCGAGATGGGGCTCCCGGGAGCCACGGACCCGGGCGCCAGCCTCCCCGTCGCCCGCCAGTTCCCGGGGCTTCAATGGAAAAGATCTGCTTAGCACCGCCTCCCTCCTTCCTCCGGGCTGGGGGCCAGGGGTCTCTCTGCTACCCGGCAGGGGTGGCGGAGCGACAGGTCTCAGAAGGTCGCATGGCGCGTGTCACCTGACGACCCCCTACACAGGCCCCTCGGGGCTACCTGCAGACACACGGGGGCAGCAGGCTTGGGGACTGGCCCTGGAGGCCCCTCTGGTGGAGGAGGGAAGGGCTGTCCCCAGGGCGGGGGCGGGGGCGGCAAAGAGTCAGCGGGGTTAACGGGACTCCGTGGGAGCCCACCCTGCAGGGAACTGCACTTGCACGCGACCTTGAGGTGCGGTCGAAGGAGCGTTCAAGGGTTCTATTTTTGTTTCTCGAGTGGCTCCGAGCATTCTGGTTGGGGAGCTTTCATCTTCCCGACTCGAGTGACAACATCTCGGGCGCCAGCCACCAGGAGGAGGGGAGCTCTGAGGCGTGGGGGGGGGGGGGCAGCAAGGGGGCCACCGGCTTCAGGGCCGGGAGGCTTGTCCGCCCAGCACCCCCAGCTCAGAGTGCGCGACCCTGGCGTGGGCCCCTGGGCCTCCCCTGCTCCCTCCCCACCCCTCACCTGGGACGTGCGCGGGAGAGGCCTCCTGAGTGTGTTCAGAGGTTGAGAGAGTCAGGTGAGGCCGAAAGATAAGCGTGGGGCGCTAAGGCCTGGGTGTTGTCTCACAGGTGCGCGCTCCTCGCGCGCAGAGGCCGACTCGGTGAGCCCGAGGGCTGTCTCGTGGCGCCCTTCGGCAGAGCTGGGTCCGCTCGCGTCCCAGGGTCGGCCCGTGCTGCGTGAGGGACTGCGGAGACAGGTGATGTCACCGGCTCTCACGGACAGGTGGGCCTCTGGCTGCCACAGGACACCGAGCCCCCGGGCGGGGGAGGGGAGGGCGCTGAGCCCCTGACGCAGCTTCCCGGCACA